GCTGCTATAGGGAGGGTAATATAGTATATAAAATAATAATAGTATGATAAGAAACAAATAAATTTACCCAATTTTATAAAAATGTGTCTATAAATAAGGAACAAACAATAATTAAAATCTTTGCTATTGGAATAACTTGAGGTTGTTTAATTTTCTCCGTAACCATAACTGTAAAAACATTTTAATGTACTAAATTATTTGTTTTTAAACCCTACAAAATGGTTTAGAGACTCATTGTAAAATTGTATGTTTTGAGGGCCAAAAATACGAAAAACCCGTTCTTAACAAAAACCCCATAAAGCAACCGTTCCCATGGCCTGATCATGCTTCGCGAACTCGTTTTAATAAATGTAGGTTTACATGCCGAAAAACAGACCTTCAAATATACCTTCAAAGGCAAAACTACTCTTTCCAAAGCTGTCAAATGTTTATACATAAACATTTAAGCTACGCTTTGGGTACAATACTTTCACATGAAAACAAAATAAAACAGTGTAACATAGTTAACAGTTTATTGAGGCTTAAAGATCAGGCAAATGAGATCTTCCAATCACAATCACTCTACAGATCTTCCATGCAGCGGGTAATTTTTCCACGCCAAGTGCGCCCATCTATACAGGGCATGCTGAATATGAATTAATTGAAATACATGATTGATATTGAAGAACACAACAAATTCACAAAGATCGGAAATTTCACTACAAGACGTACAGACGAGTTCTGGTGTGATACTGGTCTGATACTATTGTTCAAATGGATGAGTAATAATCATTTCGTGCTGTGTAGAGTATACTTCAACGTTTTAGTTTCGTATGTTGGCAATAAGTTGCGTACACCTATTTGACCTTGAACATAGTTTTGGTAATAAATTATAATACGAATAATAAAATATTAATGATAAAAATGAGTAAAAATAGCTTGCATGTCTGCAGGGCTACAAATGGTTCGCATATTGAGGTGTGATCGTGTTAAAATAACTTTTATTTTATTACCTTTCATTTAATGTATCAGCATAGCCTTCTCTATGGTATCAGTCGTTAAACAGTAGTTTGTATCTAGTACAATAAATAAATAAATTTTCTAACTAGGTAAGTTTTTTGCAGACCCTGTATAAAAAAAAAAACTAAAGATTTTACTAAACTGTATCCAAAAAAGTTATTATCGTCCGTTAGCACGATGATTCCCAAAAATCATCCGATTTAATGGAATTTGGTACAAACATTACTTTTATTTGTGAATCAAGAGATGGACTATTTATCATTTAGTTTGTATTGTAAGTGACTTAGCCTATTGCTTTTGCTTAATGAATCATTGAATCATCTAAACGTACATTTATTTATTAAAACGAGTTATTAAAAGCATGATCGGCATGATTGGCCGGCCATAGGAACGGTTGCTTTATAGGTATTTTGCCGGTAAGAATATATTTTTTTTTTTTTTCATTTTTAACCCTCAAAACATACAATTTTACAATTGTATCATTAAATAATTTTGTAGAGCTTAAAAACTAATAATTTAGTAAATTAAAATTTTTTTTACAGTTATTGGTTACGGAGAAAATTAAAAAATGTAAATTAAAAAACCTCAAGTTATTCCAATAGCGAAGATGTTTAATTATTGTTTTTACCTTATTTATAGACACATTTTTATAAAATTGGGTAAATTGATTTGTTTCTTATCATACTATTATTATTTTATATACTATATTACCCTCCCTGTAGCAGAAAACCTAGGTACCAGTTAAACCTAATGTTATTTGAATAGGTTTGTGAAAATCAAATCAAGCTACTGGAAATTCGCTTAGTCTGCAGGTTTGCTGAGGTGGGGGTATTTTTATTCATACTTTCATTTATTTTCTATTAATAACAAATAAACTGGCATACTCTCTAATTCAATACGGTGTTTGCTTCAAACAACTATATTGTGGACATATTGAAAAAACCACAATTTTTATACGTCTTTGGAAAATGTATTTATTTTGATGGTCTGTATTATGACTATTATTTACGCTACATACTTACTTTTGGGCTTAAACTGCCACAAATTTATTCTTCTTTAATGTAATAATATAAAATTTCCGGTAAAATCAACGGTTCGCAAGATTGAGTGAAAAACAATAGGAATTGCCATATTTTTTTATAATTCGATAACAAGTGGCGCGCCCCGCGGCGAGCGGCAGTATCTCGAGGTGGATAACTTGGATTTTATGTTATGGGCCCAATACTAACAACATATCCAAAAATCAGAACTACCCGACCTTTTGCACAGCAACCCCATTTTTTCTGACAGATTTACTGGACTATAAGGCAAATCAACCAAATTAATTTTATTGATGTGGCTTGGATTCTGAATTTTAAACTAAGTCATATTCATATTGCCACAGTCTAATCAAAAATAGCATAATCAATGGAATATACCAACCAAAAATGAAGAGTAACATTTTCAAATTAATATCACCATGTCTTTTTATCAAAAGGTTGCTTATTATATGTACTTTGGTTTTGCTTGTTAAAGAGTTTCTGTATAAAGCTTAATAATGTAGGAAGAGTATGTGTGAGTGAAAATTTAAAAACGTACGTTTTCATGTCCCTGGCCTTTTACTTCGTAGCTACTGGATTTGTAGTTTATTATTATGTGTTTTAATATTTTTTGGGATGGGGGCAACGTGTTACACACATTTATTTGGTTTTAAATAGGTTCTAGGTATTTTTTTCGTATTTTTAAAGTCTCGAAATTCACGACCATGACGTGTCCCTAGGGTACATTTTCCAACTTTCACGCTGGTTTAGACTAATTATTCATGCAGAAATATATAAAGCCATATTTTTATGTCATCAATGGTTATTAAACTTACAAAAAAGGAGCATATTATAATTTTATTGTCATTGCAAACTGACTACCATGACATAATAAGTCTGTCCCTCGATTTGGCGTCACGACCATTTGGGAAAATTTTTCAAATTTGGAGCACGACAGTGGCAAGCCTGGCGTTGATGGAGTCAGTTGGTTTTAGAGACTAGTTCGGGGTGTACGTCAGGATTGTAGTGCCGGTCGTTTCGAGTTGAAAGGAGGAATTACAAGATTAATACAGGAAAGGTTGTGTTTTTTGTAATTTTGGTGTGTCCATGACCGTACATAGTCATTCGATGAAGTAGACATGGTGTTAATTTTTGTTTATAAGATATTTCAATTGCTAGATTAACCTAGAAGTCCACTTTGTATCCTCGAACATGAGGTGCAGAGCTACCGCCAGAACAGAGCCAAATAAAACGTAATTTCACGACCAAAGTTTCACGACCATCGCGGGTTTTTTCACGACCTATCCAGCCTTATGGATTATAGTGTGTTTGGTCGTGACAATAATTTTAATATAATTGTAATTTGAACAGTGTAGTGCAATTGAAACACATATTTTTATTATAACTAACAGTATAATTAAAGGATTGTTTAGAAAGATTTAGATTTTTTTATAAAATTCACGACCGTACCGCTTGTCCCTGACCATCACGTTTATGATTTCTGTCATAAAAATTTCAAAAATTAAAATATCGTCATATTTCAATGTTTTATACACAAAAGAAGCACGCCTCTATGCAAACATAACGATTTTTCGGGTCTCAGGTAAGTTTTTTCGGAGTTATACAAACTTAAAAAGATATTATTGGCTTTTTTTCAATTTTTTTGAGTTTTTTATTTTTTTCTAGAAAGACCAAATATACTAAAAGCTCAGTGACCTTTTTAATGTATAATGGTCATAAAAGTAAATTAGTTTATAGCAAAACATAGTTATAAAAATAATATTAACTATTTTTAATATTCATTTAAACGTCTGTTATGGTCGTGACAGGATTTTGTGTTTTTCCACTAAAGATGCTCTTTTTAAAAAAAACTACCAAAGATATTGCGTTACCATGGACATTTTATGAAACTTCAAATGTTAATGAAATCAAAAAAATAATAAAAGTTTTGAAAAAAGGGGAAAAAAATTTGCAAAGTGTGTTTCCTGAAAACGTACGTTTTTAAATTTTCACTCGTGTATGTGTATTCATGCGGAGAAGTGTTTCATTTATATCATATCCCCTCTCTTGATACTCAGATTTTTAAATGCAACTGTATTATAAAATGTCATACCCAATCCTAAATATTAGGTCAATACAAAATATGCAAAACATATTTTTTTGTTAATTAAAGACTGAATAGCTGTTTAAAAATATGTATGTTAAATACAAACAAGTCATCGAGTCTGGTCTAAGATGAAACCAGTCAAGTATGTGTAATCTCACATTTGACATTTATCTCATATGACTTTGAGCCTATTTGGTCTTAAGCCAAGATTACTTAGTTACAGTATCTAAAATCATATATCTTTGGTCAAAATGGTTTACAATGCCTATTTAACTGATCAATAAACTGTAAATACTTTCTCCAACAACAAAAATACGAATTCCCAACACATAAGTCTGAGGAACACCAGATATTTTCTGGTTGCTATCAACCTAGTGCAAAGACTTCCCTGGGACGGATCTGTGTAGTTCAGTTAACATAAATAATATTCATATTGAGCTTAAAACACATTTTTCATTCTCACAATATGAAAAGTAAAAAAAAATACATATTCAAATAAAATAAAGACAAAATTTATATTCCTTTTCACATACGAAAGGCACTGCAAATTAATTTTGAAAACGTACCTATGCTTTACAAAATGTAACTATAAAAAATCAATTTAGAATAGTATGTACAAAATTAATTACATATAATATATGAGTGTAGTTTATCCAGCTTTCTTAAGTATGGATCGAGTTTGGTAAAGTGTTGGCTCATAGTAATTTAAAGTTTAAGATACTATTTTTTAAATGAAGAGGTATCTGTCTCTATCTTTCACCACTAAAAACTGCTGGAACCAAAAACTAATGTTTAACAACACTAAGATGGTTTCTATGTGCCAATATTTGCTGCTTGACAGTGTTGAGCCCCCACTTGACAAACTCTCTCCTCCTCATTGGCTCTCTACCGAGCTCTCATCCAGTGTGTGTAGCCAGTTGAAGATCATCATGTTGCGATCATACTTGCTCAGCGGTTTGCCACGCTCTCTCTCCACATCCGTAACTGCAATAACAAGTGTGTTATAGACTCAGACACTGATAGGAATTACCTATTTAAAAATATCTATGTAGTAAAACTACTTTACCAACTAACAAAGATTCTTTTGTTTGCTTGTCAAAAATCCTCTGATCCATCTAACTCTTTCCATCAAAATTAAATCTTATAACTTTTAATATAACTTAAATGGTTGTCAATGGTTGCCAGTGAACTAAAGCAATGTAAGCACTGCTTAGCACCTTAAGAAATTGAAAATAATTTGTCACCACACTATGATGTTTTTAGCTGTTTTATATACGTTAATTGGTAGCTGAAAGTTACGTTTTGCTGGCCATACCAGCTGTCATTGTCATTTGGGGACCGAGCAGGTTTTTACATCCCTAGGGCCGCAAAATCAGCTGCCCGCTTACTTTCTTAAAACATGAATGCATATTAAATACACAATCAGTATCCATAGCATTGCAATAGAATTGTTTATTGTCACCGCTGCCTAGCAACTATTTATTATCATTTTTGCTGATTCCTCAAATAATTCGTGGTTTATTATTTATTGTGGAGAATAGTGGTAATAGGGTATAATGTGGTGAAAAATAGCGTTTGTACCACGGACTGAAATGGTTTTGCAGCTCTCGATTGTTTTAAGTTCTCAACTTCGTCTCGAACTTAAAAACTATCTTGAGCCGGCAAAACCTCATTTTCGGCCCTAGGTACGAAATCTATAAGTATAAAAGAGGATGTTTGTGTATATATATATATATATGTATATTTGTTTGGCAGTGATAAACTCAGACACCGCTGAACATATTGCCACAAAACTTGGTACATACGTGTAGAATTTCATGGAATAGGTTTATACACCATCAATTTCGTGATCCGTCCAATCGGCTCCGCCCCAGTGGCTCTGGAATTTCCCATGTTAACCTTATGAGAAATGGAATTAATGAATCTTAACAGCTGTTTCAATTAAACAAGTTGGTTCTGTTCTATGATGTTCAATAGCATTAAAGTTACAAGGATTACCAACAGGGTGCAGCACTATTATTTCTTTTACATTTATGACAACAGCTAATTTGCAACCAAAAGGTGAGTGAGCGTAGCGAACGAACTTCAACCTGGAGGCGAGTTAGCGTAGCGAACGAGCTAACCTGAAGGCAAGTGAGCGTAGCGAACGAGCTAACCTGAAGGCAAGTGAGCGCAGCGAACGAGCTCCAACCTAATGGTGAGTGAGCGTAGCAAACGAGCTCCAACCCAAAGGTGAGTGAGCGTAGCGAACGAACTTCAACCAGGACGTGATTGAGCCATGCGAACGAGATCATCTTGAAAATTAAGAAGTTAAACGGGGCAAAGCCCGCGGGTTACAGCTAGCATACTATAATTTTACATATGCTTACAATTTTACCTTAGCTTGATTTATCCACAAATATGATTCCCCCTGCTGTTCAAATCATGTAAGAAACAAACATCTATTTGAACAAGAGATAATTTACATTAACATCGAATGGATGATGAAGGCGGATTTTTAAGTAAGGGCCTGAAAATAAAGCGATTAGGAATGATTAAAATGAGTAGGAGGTGGCGAAACTAAAGGAATTGCTAAAATTAGGGGTACCTCATACTGTAGATTCCTGTTGTTCCAGCCATATTGGAGAAGTGAGGTCATGTGACCCAGTGTTCTTCCCAGGTGACTCTTGATTTGAGGTAGTGGGGTATGGCGGCAAATTTGAATACTGGTTATAGGATGGATAGGTAAACTGGCTGTAGGTATTGGGGAAATAAAATGAAATTATTCTGGTCAAGCAAAGGGGATTAAAATAAAATGTTTTTGAAACTAAAATAAATCTGGCCTTAACATTTCCGCCCACCAAAAAGATTTAGTCTTTTTCACACAAAATTTATGTCTCATAGTTCTATGTAAATAACTCAAAATTTCTTGAAAAGGAAAAAAACACAACGAAAAACATCTTCTTGGCAAATAAAAACAAATTAATTCTCTTGAGGAAGGGGACACAGCTGCACGACAGGTCGCTGAAGTTGTCCAGCTGGTGTCTTCAGAGTGGCGACTCGGACGATGCCATCCTTCCCTGGGTGTGTCTGGATGACACGAGCTGTAGTCCACTTCAAAGGGGGAAGGTTTTTGTCCTTTATTAGGACTAAGTCATTGATTTTCAAATTGGGTGAATCTCGTGTCCATTTGTATCGCTGTTGTAACTGATGCAAGTAATCTTGACTCCATACTTTCCAAAAGGATCGTTGTGCCTGTTGGATCATTTGCCAGCGAGAAAGACGATTCTGTGGAAGGTTTGTTAAATCAGTCTGGGGGATAGCTACCAAAGGCTCTCCTATGAGAAAATGTCCAGGGGTTAGAGTCTCATACTCGTTGGGATCAGTTGAAAGACTACACAGAGGCCTAGAATTGAGGACTGCTTCGACCTTTGTCAATAATGTTGAGAACTCTTCAAAAGTTAGAATCTGATTTCCAACAACTCGTTTTAAGTGATACTTCATGGACTTGATTCCACTTTCCCATAGTCCGCCAAAATGTGGTGCAGCAGGTGGGTTGAAGTGCCAGCTGATTCCCATCTGGGCGAGTTTTGAAAGAACGGCATCTGAAGTTGGAGTCTTGTGAAGTAGACTGTGAAGTTCTTGGAGTTCTCGATCTGCTCCCACGAAGTTAGTTGCTTGGTCTGAGTAGATATGTGCACAAAGACCTCTTCTTGAGACGAATCGATCAAAACAAGCTAAGAATGCTTCCGTAGAGAGAGACGAGACTGACTCGAGATGGATTGCTTTTGTACTAAAACATATGAACAAACATACATAGCTCTTCAGTAACTGTGGTTTGCGCAACTTGTCCGTTTTTGTGGTAAAGGGTCCACCAAAATCAATGCCTACATGGAGAAAAGGGCGGCTTTGCGTAATTCGTGAGCCAGGTAAGTTACCCATGTATGGTTGAATGGAGTTAGCTTTCATTTTAACACAAACTAGGCACTTGGATAATCGATGACGGATGACTTGCCTAGCTGAAATAATCCAAAACTGTTGAGACAGTAGTGACTGCAAGGTTCTTGGGCCTACATGCAAGTGCTTGAGATGGTAGTGGTCTATAAGTAGGTTGGTTAAGTGACATTGTTTTGGCAACAACATAGGAAATTTAGCATTGTATGGTAGCTGGGAATTTTTCAAACGTCCACCCACACGAATGAGTCCTTGTTCATCTAAAAATGGACTTAACCGCTGAAGACTAGGACATGTCTGATCAGTGGCAAGTTTATCAATGTGATCAGGTAAGTAACTTGATTGAGTTAGTTTCACAAGTAGGTGTAGGGCTGATGCACGTTCCTTAGAAGTAAGAAATGGTTCAGTAATCTTCTCTTTCTTCTTTTGGCAATTATGTATGAACCTTAATATCCATCCAATACAAGATTGTAGTTTGGTGAACTGTGAATGTTTGTCAACTAAGGCAGTGAACTCATTCTTTGTGTCTTTGGCGGCAACTAGTGCACATGTCGCAGATGGGCGAAACTCAAGCAGTGACTCGTTGGGTGTTAGAGCAGGTAAAGGTTGAGTTGGCCAAGACATTGGTTCCTCCATGAGCCAATTAGGTCCAATCCACCATAGGGAATTTCTTAAGATTTCATGGGGTAGTAGGCCTCTTGATGCGTAATCAGCAGGATTGGTATCTGTCGGTGTATGTCGCCAGCAAGCGGGTTCGAGCAAAGTCTGGAGTTCAGCGACCCGGTTAGCCACAAAAGTCTTGAGCTGATGAGGTGCGGTGCGGATCCAGTGTAGTGTTACTAGAGAGTCGGTCCAGGCGAAAGTGGGTATATTTCCAAATTTGTAGGCTAACATGTTTTTACAAAAAAACATTGTTTTACTAAGTAAAACTGCTCCACACAACTCTAAGCGAGGAATTGAAATTTTCTTTAAGGGTGCAACTTTGGATTTTGCCATAATAAGGTTGGTAAGAGGTTTTCCATCAGAATTAACAACTCTTAAGTAGATAGCACATCCGTAGCCAACTTCCGAGGCATCCGAAAATCCATGGAGCTGAACGTCAGTGGTTTCTGGAAGCAGAACCAGTCGGGGAATGGTTAAGTTGCTGAGATGAGGAAGAGTTTCAAAAAACTTGGAAGACTGACGAACAATATCAATTGGCAGCGGTTGATCCCAGTCGAGTCCCAGAGTCCAAATTTTTTGGATCAAACATTTTGCCCAAAGGACTACAGGTGTAATTAACCCAAGCGGGTCATAGACCTTGGATACTTGAGACAATAGGCCACGTTTGGTAGAAGGTGGTTGTCCTATGTGAACATCGTAAGAAAACTTGTCTGAATTTGGATTCCATTTAAGGCCTAAGACTTTGATAGAGGGATCGGCAGAGCTTTCGTCTCCAAAAATGAATTCTTGATCATGAGATGGAACATCTTCTAATATTTTATGATTGTTGCTGGACCATTTCCTAAGTTTAAATCCACCAGAATCTAAGAGACTGATTAGTTCAGATTTTATTTTCAGGGTGTGATCAAGTGAGTCACCTCCTGTAAGGACATCATCGACAAACATTGAGTTTAAAATAACCTCACTTGCAAGAGGATATTTTTCGGAGTCTTCCAAAGCCAGCTGTCTTAAAGAACGCAAGGCTAAGAATGGCGAACTTGATACACCGTAGGTTACTGTGTTGAGAAGAAAGGTAGACATAGGTTTCTCTGGGCTATCTCTCCACAAAATTGCTTGAAAAGACTTATGTTGCGGGTTGACAAGTATTTGACGATACATTTTCTCAATGTCGGTTGTAAATACATACAAGTGAAGGCGAAAAAGCGAAAGAATTTTACAAATGTCAGTCTGAAGCTTCGGACCTATTAACAATTCATCATTTAGTGATTTTCCAGTTGAGGTTGGAGCTGATGCATTAAATACTACTCGTAGTTTTGACGAAGAGGAGTTTTTCTTGAAGATTCCGTGATGCGGGATGTAGTAAGCTGGTGTTACAGAGTTTACAACCTCGGACATGTGACCCAAATCTCTATATTCATTCATGAATGTTGAGTAGGCTCCTTTTAGATCAGGATTTTGATTGAATTTTCTTTCCAGAGATAAAAAACAATGCTTGGCTCTGCTGTACGACTCACCAAGGTCGGGACAATCATTTTTAAAGGGCAGGTCAACAACAAAACGACCAGCTGAATCTCTTTGAACTGTTGACGCGTAGATTGACTCACATCGTTCATCTTCTGGGCTAGTTTGGCAATGATTCATCGGGGGTTCTTCAATTTCCCAGAACTTGCGCAGATTCGACTCCAGTGATACTTGGTCTAATATAGCTAAATTAACAGAAACGGACTGAGTCGTTGGAATTGGCAAACGTGATTCACCGATGAGCAACCATCCAAAAATGGTGTGAAAGGCAGTAGGGAATCCAGATGGCGTATCACGCCGCCCACCGTCAAAAAGCTGTGGGAACAAATCAGCACCAATAAGAAGATCAACTCTTCCAGGTTGGTAAAACTCCGGATCGGCCAAATCCCAACCTTGAAATAACATTTTAACCTTATCATCAAGAGCAGTAGAAGGTAGCGGTGAAGTGATCCGATTTAAAACAATGGCTTCCGTTCTCAGTGAAGGGTTATCTTGATGCAAAGGCTTGATTACACAGGGTACTAGTCCTTTGTTGCTGGAAACAGACACTTCAGACAATCCTAAAATTGGTTGAACAACTTTCCGTCTCGGTAAACACAACTGACTGACACATGATTCAGTAATGAAGGAACTTTGGCTACCAGCATCAATTAATGCTCTAACCTGTTGAGGATTACCACAAACATCTAGAATGCGAACAATGGCAGTACCTAAGAGAATGGTTGTAGGCTTAAAGTAAGTTTCGTCTTTCGGGCTTGAATCACATGTAGGCCTAATGCAGGTAAATGCAGAGGTAGGAGCAGGGGATAATTTTTCTTCTTGCTTAGAAGTTGATGTCGGCGTAGCCTTAACCAAAGAATCAGATTCTGGATAAGAAACATGAAGCGTTGTGTGATGTGATTTTCTACATTTGAAACATGTGCGGGATGAACGACATTTGCTTAACATATGTGATATGCTTAAACAGTTAAAACATGCTTCCTTGGATTTGATTAGATCTCTTCTTTGGGTTGGAGACAAATTTAAGTAAGATTGGCAACGATAAATGTTATGTTCTTGGCTACCACATGAAATACAAGTGACTGGCGGTTTAGATTGATTGGTAGTAGGGCTATTGACAACAAATACCCTTTTGGTCGGGGCACTTGGAAAGGTAGTCTTGTTTGGAGCATTTTTGTAGCCTACCTTATACTGTCCAAACTTTAGGTTAGGTTGTGTCTCACCTGCAGCTTCGAGTGACTTGCAGTGTTCCTTTAGAAATTCAATGAAATCGGACAAGGAGGGATATTCCCTATTAGAGAACTTGCGTTCAAATAACTGTCTTGTATGCCTGTCCACGGTTTTCAGAGCTACGTGCAGAATAATAAATTCACCTAAGCTGTCAGGTATCTCCATTTGCTTTAAGGCTGAAGTGTTCTCATTAAGTGTGTCCAGTAGAGTTCTTAATGGCTTAGGAGACTCGAAATGGATGGGGGTAAGACTTAAAATTTCATCAATGTAATTGGCTGCTAACAACCTTTTGTTATCATATCTCTCATTTAACTGTGTCCAAACAAGTTCATAGTTGTCAGAACAAATGGGAATGCCTTTTACCAAGGTATGCGGTTCACCCTTTGTACTTGAAAGTAAAAAATGAAGTTTTTCTACAGGGGATAACGATACATTATTGTGAACAAGAGCAAGAAAAAGGTCCTTGTAATGAGGCCAGTCTTTCAAAACTCCCTCGAATGTGGGTAGATTGATTTTTGGGAGTCTAACAGCTGTGGAGGCGATAGGCTTAACATTTTCAACATTTTCCTGTCTAACAAGAGGTGAAAGAAACTTGTCTTTGGTAGCAAGAATAAAAAAATATTTCTCATCTACAACCTTATTTTTGGCAAGAATTCCCTCCAGCTGAGAAGTATCTTTGAGCTGGACATAACCTTTCACTATGTCAGATTGGTAACGCTCAAAACTTTCATAGTGGGCAGGGAGACGATCACAACGAACTTTGAACTCTGATAATTCAATTGGGCTAGCCTCTATAGACAAAGTTTCAGCTTGATTGTGCAAAAACTCAATTTTTTGAACAATATTATCTCTTTTATAAATCAGAAGATCAATATCTCTCTTTAGTTTGGCATCTGCCATTGTAAATGCTATTTATTGTCATTTACAAATAGCCTAGATCTGTAGAAACTCAAGAAACTCCACAACAAGTATTTATAAGTTACCACTTGACTGAGAGTATGATAATTAAATTAAAATAATTTGTTAAGTATTGCAGAAAAATTCAATTATGTTGTCTTGATAAATAGTCTTCTTAATCTGCATGTAATTGTAAAATTATTAAAGTGGCAATCTCTGTTTACAATAAACCAACCAGTGACAATAATTATTGTAAGTGCCAGACTCTTCAATATTTATGCAAAATGGTGAAAATAAACAGTCAGTATCAAACAAATATTTTAAAAAGAATAATTCTTAGCAACTTAAATAAATCAGCATAAATTCTTCATATCTGGGAAATTTCTTCTTTAGTTTTACCCAAAAGGGATATTTCAGGGGAAATTTCCCACACTGTGGGGTAATTGTGGGGAATCTTGGTGGGTAATTCCAGGGAACTTTCCCCTCAGGTTGCAATCCTGACAAAACTCCTGAATTATCCTGCAATCTTGCACATGTGAATCAAATTGCCAAAAAACTAATAAATCTTGATGTAAACTATTTTAATTGGTGGAAATTGATTGCAAATTGATTAAAAATGATAATAAAACTGCTGATAACTAAAATACTTCTTCAAATAGTCTTCAAATAAGCAAGTGAATGTAAAGCTAGGCCAGATTTGAATTTGCTAATTTTTGAAGTAAAAAACAGGAATAATAGGAAAATTTATGAATCAGACTCGAAGGACCATGAAAATAAAGCGATTAGGAATGATTAAAATGAGTAGGAGGTGGCGAAACTAAAGGAATTGCTAAAATTAGGGGTACCTCATACTGTAGATTCCTGTTGTTCCAGCCATATTGGAGAAGTGAGGTCATGTGACCCAGTGTTCTTCCCAGGTGACTCTTGATTTGAGGTAGTGGGGTATGGCGGCAAATTTGAATACTGGTTATAGGATGGATAGGTAAACTGGCTGTAGGTATTGGGGAAATAAAATGAAATTATTCTGGTCAAGCAAAGGGGATTAAAATAAAATGTTTTTGAAACTAAAATAAATCTGGCCTTAACAGGGCCTTTTGTGCGTATAGCTTCTTACTTTGCGAGTTAGCCCCAACGAGGCTCCTCACCACTTACTGGCATCATTTGCCAACAGAACGGTGCCATTTGCAGCTCTGTAGCTGACTTGTATGCTTCGCTACGTGTCTAATATATATTTTTTTTATTATTGGAACTACCCCTTCATGCGATATAAGGTCGGTGATAAGTTTTTTTACTACAAGAAACATAGATGCATGATAAAGGGTAAAGTGCAGGGGTTAGGAAGTTTGAAAATGACTGTGAAAATGTCAATTTTGGAACGTTTTTGGTGGGTTCACAGACTTTTCACAGAAAACCACAAAAAAAAAGGTTTTCATGTCATCTTACACTCACTAACCCATTTGCGCACCTTACCCTCCTCACTTCTCCCTCACACACTCATTCCCTCAGGGCCATAACCTTCAGTCATCTGGAATGAATGTCTGCATCGGATATGTTTCTTGTGGTAAAAAAATACATACTGTATCGACTTTATCTCGCATGAGGCAGTATCTATATACATACCTAAGTGCTTTTTTTGGTAGGTAAACCATAACTTCTTTATCTTGATTAATTTTCATCAACTAGGTATCATTTTATATCTCATTAGTATCATGAGGTATCATTATCTAAAATGGCTGACATGTAGTTTGTTATGAAAAGTGCTCCTACTTTTAAAACAATCCAATTTTTTTGCAAGTTTTGGACTGAATAATATAACTAGTGAGTTTATATTGTTACTTTTTACACACTTAAATGTAATATACAAATAAGTTTTTATGTTACCTTAAATTATAAAACATTCTACTACATAAAAATGTTTACTTACAAGTACAAGACTCTGTTTGGAACAGGGATAGTTTTATATAGATTGGTGACAATAAATCAAAATACTTTAAGTTCATTGGTATTATTTTTTCAAACTGCACTTCAGTGGTGCTCAGCCCCCCCATGGGGAATGGCGCATACCGCCCCCTCAAAACCAAGCCTAATGCCCCCCCCCCCCGCAAAGCATGACATCTACACTCAACCCTTTCATTTATAACATTAGTCAGTATATGTCAGTAAAATCACACACCTAGCGTGGTTTTGTTAGGCCACACACTTGACTCCATATATCACGAACACATGAATTGCACAGATGCAGTGCACAGCATTACAGTGTGTCATTTTCCTGAGTTCAACAGAAAATTAATTATTAAATTTCTCTTCTCTAGATAGCACCCAAAAAAATCCGTGCACGGACTTCACGGTAAAACATTTTCGTGGTCATATCCTGCAAATATGGTGACTTCTTGGTCGTATCCCGCGATCACGGCAAAGTTGTGGTTATCTCGCTCGATCACGGCAACTTTGTGATAATTTCTCATGAATCACAGAAAGGTCCTAGTTATCTTCTGCAAATGCGATTTTCGTGAGACAACTACATAAAGAGAGAACAAATGGCAATTTGTGGTGAATTTTATTGGTGATTATTAAAAAGTTACAATTTCTTGGATAATGAATGTATACAATTCACAAACCTTTACCCGTTGATCAACATTTTTAAGTACAATTAATTCTTTGTTCTTCCAGTTGGCTGAACACCCCTGAACATTTTGCTTTAAATATTTTTTCTTCTTCAACCTGTTGCTAAAGGGCAACGTATTCTATTGAGTTCTAAAAAGGAAACACAATAGGTAAACTGATTCCCATATATCAAAACAAAACAAAGTTCACGTATTCCAGGGCATAAAATAACATGTTAACTGGGCGACACAAGTGACTATGGGTGGTGCCGGCATATTTTTTTAATGATTCACATTTTAAATGTATTGGAATTTAAAAAATAACATAAAGTAAATATTTTAGAGTATTGAGCTATGTTCGGTATTCATATTTTTAGAGTATTTAAAAATTAATCATTATGTTAATTAAGTCACTGGTTAATTAATCATGCTAATGTGTATATAAATCACCACATTTATTGTAATATTATTTAGTCTCAGTAACAATTTATTGTAAATAGACTCCCGCTTTCAATATTCAAATGAGATTGCTAAGCCCGCTCGAATTTCCTGCCACAGTAAGGCCTATTTTCCTGTACTACATACCCATGAATCACCTGACACCGTGTTTGCTTCAATCGAATTTCCTATTGGCCATCGAATTCCTAGACCCCTCTAAACCGCAATTGCATTTTTCAAAGTGAAGCCGGTGATCGGCGTCTGTCTGTCCACGGTCGGCGTCCATAACTCACAGTGTATTCCGTTTCTCGTATCTCGGGACATTAATTGCCCATTTTTACCTCTCTTTAACGTATTTTTAGGCTATAGATTAATTATATCTGGCCTCTCTCTCCTCTATAGTACATTTAACTATATATACATTTTAATTTCCCCCTTTTGTTTGTGATTAAATTACTTAAATTGTGATCTAGTGCTTTCAGACTCTTCAAACCTCAAGACAGTGTGTGCGCGTCCGTGTATTACTTCTAGACTTTTCGTACGTTTTCACCGCGACTTCCGCGTATTAGTGAGCTCTTTGTGATTATGAACTTGGGTGCGTTGCGTTCTCCAAAATTCTACAAAACAGAAGCACTCGGTCTAAGGACTCCGCCATCCACCATCGCTCCACCATAGATGACGCCGCTGCCATACTCTCCACCTTTGGATAATTGGACTCAAGGTACAACCTGTAAGTTTTGTGTGTGTTTTAATTAGACTCTAAAACTAACCTCATTTGCCTCTCACAAGACATTTTATTCCATCTCGGGACCTCAGTGCCCTTCAAATTGCAGATTCGCCATTTTTCTCTAATTTAATTATTTTTCTCTTGAACTATTAATTAGTTCTGGTCCTTCGAGTTATTAATTATTTTCATTTCACCCATTACGCCCCTAACATTTGGTCCTTCCAGCCGGATTAATTGTCTCCAGTCCTGTGGTTATTAATTTCAGCCAATTATTCACCATCAATTATATTTTTAGCAATCTGCAATTTTCAGTTTGCGCCATCTTGGTAAAATATCGGCTCGCGCTCGTTTCGTTCGTGGGCGTGGTTTAGCAATCTCTCTCCACTCGCGCGTCTGCGCAGGTCACAATCATGTACAATTTGCTGTTATCTCTAGTAGCAGACAATTTTTCCCTACTTGGGTCTTTTTATCCCGAAAACGGGATTTAGTTTTTAGTTGCGGGATTTAGTTGCATGCAGACGGCAGACACTAGTAGCAGACGCATATCTCAACTGTCACTCACTGCACAGCGTTTGTTGTTGTTTACATTTTCTCAGTTAAGGTGTATTGTGTAATAAGGTTGATTGATATTATTTAATAACCAACTATTAGGTTATTATTAGGTGTTTACTATTATTCTTTGAATCAATATTGCTCTTTTGAATATCATACTAAATAAACAATAATTTGTCATTGTTATTAAACATTGTTTATGCTTTCTGAATTTTGGTTTTAAATGAAGTAAAGTTAAATTAGTTCATCTCTGTAATTTTGGTTGACAAAGTGTGATATTATATTTAAGGTAATTTATTAATTATCTTGTCAATTAACATTTTAATAAATAGTTCAAAATAACCGTTTTACTGATTCTCATTTTACTATTGTTGTACATAAACAAACCTATAGGCTAGCGTATTTGTAGTTGTATTTCATATTTCATTGATGGGTTTAATTTTATGTTCATTTGTCTTTTATTAGGGTAATAATTTACTTTTTATGTTGCAATTCTTCAATTCTTGTTTACTAAGGATTATTCTACACTGTTTCATTAATGAGGTCTATATTTTGTTACATCGCCAGTTGTTTGTAATTGTAGCTGGTTTAATTTCTTTGTCTTGGAAAACTCAATTCTGTTAAATAAATTAGGCCTACTCTCATTAAACTTATTTAGAGCCATTTATTATTTTTGTAAATAACGGTGAATTTTCATGTGACTCATTCATTTGTTCTACATATCTCTTGTTTTATTGTACATTATT